AACTTGTATTATCCTTGTTGCATTCCTGCCAAATCCTATCAATTTAGTACACTACCACAAAGAAAATTGTAGTATCAAGTAGAATATTTGGACGGATTCTTCAGTAAATAACCGTGACTCTTATTTTCTCTAAATTTTTATATTTTTTATCAAAACAATCAACAAGTTTCCTAGTTTATCTCTGTCGATGATTTTGCTCGAGCCCATAATACACATATGTGCTTTCCCATATAACATTTGATGTGCGACCACGCTTTTGCACAAACGTGCTGACATAAATTGATTAATTAAATAATTAATTTATTAATATTAATAAAAATATTATGAATTTAAAAAAATGTCATCGATGTTTACAGTTTAGTGTTAGATTGTTTTGTTGTTGTGAGTGGGAACAAAAATATCATAAATCAGCATTAAATTGAAACGTTAATAAATGTTGCGTTAATGAATGTTGCACCAGTTATAAAGTGTCAGTGAATGTGTAATATTTAAATTGTACTTGTTTAGTAAATATTTATGAAAAGTTAATGACAAATAATTGTTTTATCTTGTTTTGACTCAAAAAGTAAAACAATAAAAAAATAGTTAAAATCATGAAAAATAGTTAAATTCAAGCTTTTTTGAACCAAACACAGGAATGAAATCTTGCACATAATATATTCAATCAAAATTTAAAATTAATTTTAGTTAAATGAACTATTTTTAATATTAATTTGATACTACTAAAATTGCATTTCTTACTTATGGTAAGCCAAATACAGTCATGAATAATATATTTAATATAAATGTATTAGATAATAAATAAAAATAAAATGAATCAAAATGAAAATAAAAAACACTAAATCGAATAATATTAAAAAGTGAAGTGAAAATAAAAATTATTTAATTTTTATAAAAGTGTTAAATAAAATATGATACTTAATGATTTGAAAATTTCTAATATTAGTGCAGTTTTTTTTACAAAATTTAAATAATTTCTAGTACATTTATAAACATAATTTTTAGTACATTTATTGAATATTGTAAATATTAACTCAATATCAATTCAAGAGCAAATAAACATTAAAGAAAATTCATAATCACAAATAAAATATATTAACAAAATAATTAACACATTAACAAAATATTAACAATAAATATATTAACAAAAGATTTTTTTATTAAAAATTTTGTTTATAGTGTTTAGTCCCAAATATATAGTGAAAGATTATAAAAAAAATATGAATAATATTTATATTAATATTTACAATAACTTTTAGTAACTTGAATAAATATGGTGTTATTATATAGGTAAAATAAAAAGTATAAAATTTTCTGAATAGTGTTTTGCAAAAACATTCAAGATGTTTGAAATATTGAAAGTAAGTTTATTTTTTATTTTTTACATTTATATAAATTCTGAAAATTATTAACAATGGTTAGATTTTGCAAATCAAGAAAACTTTATGAATAATAAAAATGCAATTTTGTATTTTGTAAAATATTATTTACTCATTTGTATATTATGCTGCACTTTACACAAAAATTATTTATTGTAGACACAATTACTAAAAATTTTATTTCTGATATTATATAATATTTTATTTCTGATAGTAATTATACAAAAATATTAATCATCTGTAAGTTTTAAATGCATTTTATTTTGTAGTATTTAATATTATTCTATAAAACATTCTATACAAAAATTTGTAGAACAAATAGCCTTATAAACCAAACTGATCAATAAACAAAATTTGTGTCATTTTTCACATTTGTTTTGTCTAAAGTAAATAAATATTTTTAACTAAAGGGCAAGAGTTTATGGACACTAATTTAAAAAATAAAGCTCTTATGACAATAATAATGTTCCACATCTTAAAAATTGTACTTTATAAATGAAGTGTAAATATTTTTAACTAGAAAGGCAAACGTTAATGCATATCAAATTAAAAAATTAAGTCTCATATCACAAAAGTAATTTTCTTTATTTGATAAAAGATTTATTAAAATTATATATTTTTATTTAGATTAAAATGAATGGCAAATTAAATTTCTTCTTTGCTTATTTGTATATTTCAAAAATGTATATATATAACTAATGATTAGAAACCTGACGGGAACAATAGGTACAAGATCACGGATTATTGTATGCAAATTTTTTGTATGCAAAATTTCTAAATTGCAAATGAACTTTAAAAAAAGACATGCATAAATAATATTTACGTACAAAATAAGCATATAAATGGCAAATAATATATTTTTAAATTCATAATGTTTAAAAGAAATGAAGACTTGTTTTTATTATGAATCATTTTAAACATAGACTTCTCCTTCATGGAGTGAATTCTAAAGTAATAATAAAAAATATTTTTTATAAATATTATAATTTTTTTTCTTTTCGTCTAACTTTTTTATCATATTTCTTCGTTAATGCATCAATAACAATAAAAAAAAATATGGATCTAATTAAAAAATACAATTAGGATCTTAATACTAAATCTGTGCAGATTAAATAAACTCAAGATCAAAAATATTCTATAAACCTTTATAATATTTTTAGACCCTCAGTTTCTTTAATGTATCAAGTCTTCACATAATTAATTTTACGATCATAATAATATTATTTTTATTTTTTTTTTATTTTTCATTGACCATTATTAATCAGAATTTTTCCATGAGATTATCATTTATTACGGAAGATGAGTTTTCTCTAGTATTTTGTTATGAAAGGAATTTTCAATATGTGTTTTGCAAATTTAATCTGTTTTCACGTGCAGATAATATTATATAAAGTTTTTATCGCGGAAATGCGATCCGATTATAACAAAAGCTCTCGATATTTACATGAAAATCGATTTTTCTAGAGATAATTACATATTTTTATGAGTATCATATTTTGTATCAGAGATACTGTATAAAAATGCGTGCAAATATTTTCAAAATAAAATTTACATAAATATAATCTTTTAATATTATCTGCTTTTTAATATTTGTCAAAAACAAGTAGAGTAGAGCGGGGCTTATTTTGTAATATCTCTTCAAAATTGAAAATAAGGCATTGGATCTGTTTGCTCCCTGATCGTTTACACCGTTTATGGGGTAAAAAGGACCAGAGGACAATTTTTTGAAAAACAGCAAAATCACCAATTTTTATAGTGAAGAATTACCTGGAAGTTTCACTGAACATAGTCAATTAGTTGTTTTTTTGTTATGTGTAATTTGTTGTGATATTATTAGTTTGGTTTTTACAATATTATTTCTCAAAGTCAAATTGAACCTTTGTGCCCCACTCTACTCTATTCAATATGATATTCCTATCCTAAAAAATTATTAAAGGCAAATGTAAAATTTATATTTTCTCATTTGTGAAATTTAAGGCTTCGATTAGAACTATTGCATTTTTATTCATTAATTTAGCAATCAGAAAATGCATTTTAAAAACTTCGCAGAGTTAAATTGAAAATTGCTAAAATTTCACTTATAAGATAATAGCTAAATATTCTTATAATTTCAAGATCATTATTTTTCTTATGATATTTTCTTCTCTCTACATATGTGTTCTGAATTGTTAAAGCAGGGTTTTGTGTATATTTATATTTATATTTAAGCCAACATATTAAAACGGTTTCGACACAAATTAATTGAATTTAATTCAAACGACCTTATATGACACCGAATTTATTACACAAATGACTCCAGTGGCTGTAGTAAATAATACGCCGTTTAAAATCAAAATAGATTTATATATATATATATATATATATATATATATATATATATATATATATATATATATATATATATATATATATATATATATATATATATATATATATTAAAAATAAGCAAATATAGACTATTATATATTTATACGTTTTGACATTACGTATTTGTCATCATCCAGAAAAATTGTTTTTAAATAATGGGCAACAAAAAATGTTTTACCATGATATTGTGTTTCTATAATTTTTATATTTTGAAGTTTTGCTTTTTCTGAATGAATTAAAAATCACTAATATCAATAATAAAGATATTTTTCTACTTCATAATTAATTTATAATTATATTTCCTATAAAAACTACATCAATATAATATGATAAAAAAAAGTATTTAAATTATTGCTAAATACCTCTAGTATTTATAATGTTACAATCATGATTAATAAAGAAACGGAATTATTTTCTAGGTCAACAATTTTTTGTTACATTAGTTTATTGAAACAAGTTTTTTTGTTTTTATAATATAATTTATTTATATTGCTATTGCAGTCATAAAATTAATATTAATAATTATGATAAACAAACTTTTTTTATATAAAAAAATAGTTATAAAATTGTTGTAAAAGATACATATTAAAAAAAAATATCTTACTTATCTTATAATAAATAAATTATATAATTTTAGGATAGAAAAGCACGTGAGTTTAGAATAAATTTTCGTATTTTAGAAGAAAAACATTTATAATTTATATTGAAATTGAGTAATTGTTCTCTGCCGTTTTTACTTATATTGTTAAATAAATGTTTAGGATATTAATTATTATTCTATAAAATTTATAATATTTTTTTAAATTTATTTCTAATATAATTTTATCATATTCATTGTTAAACTGAGAAGATCTCATTGGAGCTCTTCTTAGGCATCGCTCTTAAATATTGTCATTTTAGATCATAGAAATCTTTATGTATTTCTGATTGCTAAATAAAACGAAATAAAAAAAATATTTCATTATTCTTGACAAGAGCCCTAAAGAAAATTTATTATTATTAATTACGCCTTGCTTATGAATAAATAAATAAATAAATAAATTATTTTCTGACTTAGCTAAATAGCTTACAATGTTAGCCAATAAATAAAATAAGAGTGAATAAGTTTATTTTAAACTGAAGTGATTTTCTAATCTAAATTTGTCTACTTTTAAAAAAAAAGTTAGTTCGTCTTCTTGAATCATTTGTTTTTGGTTCTTTGATGAGATACAAATATAATATAGTATTTTACTAAAATACATTTTTCTTTTCCAGAAAAACAAAGAGTTGATGAGCGAATTAGTGGCGAATCGAAAATTGAAAAATGGTAAGAAAATTATTTAAATTGAATTACAATGACAATCAAGTACCTACTATGATACTAGAATTATTCAAATTATTCTTGAAGCAACTCATATATTATTTAAATTAATCTAATAGTTCATAATCTATCAACAAAATCAATACGTTTAGCAACATGTCAACCATATATGTCTGACGCTAAAATATTTCACGTGAGCCATGTTAGACATATATGTCTGCTATTTGATAGAAGGAGAAATGAAGTTTTAATGTAGATTCATTTCAGTCATATATGTGTGACATAAAAATTAGTGTTTTTCCAGAAATTTTGGCTTTTTTTTCTTGGATGCATTAAGTTTTCTTGATACATTTTTAACAAAATTATCTAATAAAGTTACCATGGCTCATGTGAATTTTGTTCTGTTATTATCGTGGTAAAAGCGAATGCATTTCTAATTCGATTCGCGATTTTAAATAAACAGTCTGCAATTCTATTGGAAAATATTGTGGTTAAATGCTATATCATTTAATTCAAAAGTTCAATTAAATATTGACTTTATATCCAAATCCACGTACATAATCCTGTTCGATTCGAATCAAATCCCTTCAGCATTTCACGAAATCTATTTATTTATTTGGACGATACTTCAATTACTGGAATTCGATTTACAAACTCTTAATCGAAAATGTAACACGTTTTGCAAAATAAATTCTTTGAATTTCAGATGGAAAAGTTTGATAATGAATAAAAGTTTTTGGGAAAGATGAAAGTATATATCGAAGATTTAGATATATTTTTTAGAGAAAATATATCGATTCAAATTTAGTTATTAATAATATATTGTTACTGAGAAGGCAGTTATTTCTTACTTTAAATTAGAGAGCAATTAGGTATTACCTAGCAGCTGAGGATCATCTTGAAATTTTGTATCAAAATTAATATTATATCTATATGTAATTCACAATTTTGTAAAAAAATATATATCTATTAAATTAAAATGACAATTTATTTTTAATTATGGACTTTTTATGGTGGTATTGTTACAGATACTTTAAACTCAATTTTAACTACTCAGTTAATATTGATTTAGAGACAAAGCTTTGTTTAAATTTATATGAGAATTTTATTTGAGCAATAATATGCCCGCACTATATATAGTACCTATACATAACTCTCAAAATGCAAATTATTACAAATAATGATAAAAACCCACAACCTGATTTTACAACGCCTCAACAATATTTATTTGTTTTTTTTAACCATTTACTTAGTAATGCTAGAAGATTTATAGTATTATTAAAAATCCATATTTTTTAATTTAATCCTTTTTTATTTTTCTTTTAGGATTTGGACCAGGGGTGTGTCTCACAGGCACCCAACGAGAAGGTTCTCCAACAGGAAAAAGTTCCCACAGTTTAGACGGACCCAACCCTGCCGAACCTATAACCGAGGTAAATAAAATTTCTCCACAAAATACGCATTTTCATTGTTTTCCTTCTCTACGCACTAAAATATTCATTTATTCCGATGTTTTCCACAATTTTTTCTCGAATCATTCTTATCAGGGAAAGCACCTTTTAGGTGAAAATCTGGAAAATTGTAGTCTGACGTAGTTCGATCGAGTGACGTTGCCGGTATCGAAATGTTTAATCAGTCGTGAATGGTCTTCGATAGTGTTTGCCATGAAATTGATTTAATTTAGTAATGTTTACGTCACTAAAATATCGGTAAATAAATATGTGCATTAGATAGATATTTGGATAAAGTGCGTAGTCGAATTGAGTTTCCATCGGGGTTTTTTGGAACGGAATGAGAATTATGACATTGCAGCTTTTATTGAGAGTGATATCTAAATTGTACTAATTTTTCACGAAAACCATATAAAAATTTGTAAGGTTCAAAATTTTCACAACTAATAATAATTCTTATTTATTAATGAATTTAAATTACATAACTTTAGACAATAAAGCAATTACATCAACTTGAACAGCGAAATAAATTATTTGTGTAATTAAACACTTTTTTGATAACGCAAATACTAATAGATTAGTATTTGATTTATTACTTAATTACATAAAATCTTTGTGCATTTTCCCGTATTTGTTTTTAATTGCGCAGTTTTTGCAAAATATATTTGCACATATATTCACATATCATTTTATTTATTCATTCTAGCAATAATATTTATTTATTTATTTATTTATTTTTATATTTGTCTTTTCTATATTATGCTCTTGCATGTTCTTGATTTAGTCAGTCATTTATTTAGGTTTTTTATTTATTCATTAATATTGAATATTCATTTATTAATTTAGTCAATAATTTTTATATTTATTTATATAACCATCTATATAAATTTATTTTATTAACTTCCCGTAGGGTAAGTTATTGTAATGGGCCGAAAATCGGAATTGAAAATTTTTACATTTCTCGACTTTTTGAAGGTTTCTGAACGTTTTGGCATACCTCAGAAAAATGGATGTGTGTGTGTGTGTGTGTGTGTGTGTGTGTGTATGTATGTATGGATACAAATTTTCGTCCACGTTTTCGGGCGTACGGATCAACCGATTTGAATGGTTTAAAAAACATTCGATCCTATTAATAAGGAGAAGAGCTGATTAGTTTTTGGCAAAGACAGGTCCAGCAGTTACGGAGATAAGGAACAAAGAGAGCAGAAAATAGAATCGAGTTTTTGAGAGAACGGAGCATCCGATTTGAATGATCTAAAAAACATTCCATTAGTAATGATTGGGAGAAAGGTTTATTAGTTTTTCGCAAAGGCAGGCCCAGCCATTTCGGAGATACAGAGCTAAATGTACAAAAAATGGCAGTTTTTGAGAGAACTAAGCGTCCGATTCATTGATTCAAAGAACTTTCTGCTTGTCTTAACAAAATAATTAATTTTGGAAAAAAAAATGTTGTACCATTTTTTTTTTTTTTTTTTTAAATTTTTTGTATATCGAAAATAATTCAGATTTATTATTTTATTCTGACTATAGTTCTAATATACTTAAACAAATAATTTCAACTCTGCAATTCAGTTTATATAATTATTATAAATATTAGACAATAATACAATATTTATAATAATCTATTTGAAAACATTCAATATTCCTCGAACGTTTCGTTACGGTACGGGAAGTTCCAGCAATTTGCCTTAAGGCACGATGCCACCCACCCCACTAGTTTTATTTTATATTCATTTATTTATTTATTATTTAACCATTATATAATCAATCATTCGTACATTTAGTCATTCATTTATTTATTCTCATTTTTTTTTATAAATATTTATTCAGGTAATTATCCATTTATTTGTGTATGACTTTTTTAATAATACTTTTTATTTTTTGAATTTATTCATTATTCGGTTGATTTATTTAAACATTATTAATTCGTTCATTCATTTACTGTTTTTCACTCATACATTCCTATTCTTTTACATTTATTTATTCATTCATTCCTATGCTTTTTTAAATTTATTTCTCTATTTATTTATTAAATCGATTATGTACTCTTTTATTTGTTCATTAATTTATTATTTTTTTATACATCCATCATTATATTTCTTGTTCTCATATTTATTTATCAATTAATAATTTAGTTAGTTCAAATGATTACTTTTTTTATTTTTTGTTATATTTATTTTTTATTCATTTCTATATATGTATTTTATTTCTAATATTGTTATATATATTATTATCTTTCACGTATTGTTTTTATTCTACTTTATTGTTTTTCTAGTATTATTCTTATTATCCAAAATTTTTTATTTATTTTACTTTTAATTTTATTATTATTATTATTTGCTTTTATTTTTATATTAATACTAAACATACTACTGATACCATTTTATTGAAAATTCTATCCTTTATTTTGTGCTCTTTTTATTGAATTTATATAATTGTTCATTACTGTTACTTGATGTTAATTATTTAGCAGTTGTAACAAATATAGTAATTAAAAAAAATCTAAATAAATTTATTTTTTTCTATATTCATTTTCTTACCTATGGTTGTTTAATTAACTAAACTTAAATTGTATGTTTATTTATTCTTCTAAATTATAATTATTTTATTTCTCGATTTATTTATTTATTTATACATGGTTTAATTTGTTATTTCACCATTCTCAAATGTTTATAATACTTTTGTTTATTTATTTAGTACATTAATTATTCATTTGTTCATTATTGTAATATTATATATACGTATGCAGTTATTTAATTATTACCATTCCTGCGTTTACATTTTTTATCCGTTTTATTTATATCATCCATATATTTTATTTATTCAATCAGCTAATAATAATTTAATCACTAATTATATCAATTATTCATATTTAATCATTATATTTATAATTTGTTTATGATTATTGTATTTAAAGTGTATATTAATTTCTTCTAGTTTTTGCTATATTTATTTAATTATTTATTTATTTGTGTATGTGTCTATTTAAATATTTATTGGTTTGTTCATTTGCGTATATATTTATTCATTAATATATTTATTTAACTTGTATTTTTTCTCATTTATATTATTTATTTTTAGGCACCAAGTCCTGCAATGGCTCGTATCGGTTGGGCCTTACGAGTAATATTATTGAGCGAAACTGGAGGTTGTTTGAAAGACAGAAAATTATCAGGTATTGTAAAAATAAAATGACTATAATTACTAATATTTTTATTACTAAAAATGTCTATAATTTTAACACGAGTTTATAACAATGTGGCAACACGAATTGACCATGAATTTGAAGTTGGCTTTGGAGACAGAAAAGTAAAATAATAGATATTCATCCATAGACTTCATACTATTACTTTCACTGTTGTGTAATGTCTAAGTTGTCATCACATATTTATTTCATAATGATCAAATTTTTCAGAGCCAACTCCGAACTCATGTTACCACAAAATATAGAGTGAATCAACATCAATTCTATATTCATCAGAAAATATTGAATACAGATCTACAGTACTTTTGGTGAATCATAAGAATAATGCTAGATGTTACTAAAGTAAACAAACAAGCATATGCAATTATCTTACATAATTCGATTATATGTAAATAGTACAAATATCAAATATCATTATTATATTGTGTTGTTCCTAATTTTTGTCCCCAGGTAAACCAGTAAGACGATGTGCACCTGGCACAGAGCTGGTGGACTGGCTGGTCGCCCTTTCTCCTGCAGTCCATGGACGTCTGCAGGCCCAAGGCATGTGGCAGGCCTTGCTGGAGGAAGGGGTTATAGCACATGGTAAGTAAAATAAAATTTCTTATTTTAGACAATAATAGAAAATTTTTCAAAAAGGCAAAATAAAAACTTTGACTTTATATTGACTCTAAGAAATATCTCAAATAAGAATTCAAGATTCAGAAATTCAAAATATCCTTATTGATTTTTATGTTATTAAAGAATTTTTGATTATTTAAATAATGTATCTTGTATTAAGATAAAGATTGTAATTAAAAATAAATCTTGTATTAAGATAGTCCAGTCAATCAATGGTCTCCCCAAGTGTTCCAAGTTTTAGCACGTTTTAGCAATCGTAGACTATACAATTCTCTGTAGTTTCAATTGGTTATTTCCTGATCATTTTATCATATTCTACAACAATGCTTTATATATGTGAAATTCTACATATTATGTAGTTCCTATATTTTTGCTCATACCTAATATGTTTTAACAAAAAAAATCCAAAATTTGCAGATAATTTTTCAACTTCTTAACCGAATTTTTCGGTAATTTTAATTTAGTTATCAGTTTAAAATTAATCTTCCTCAATTTTAATTACAAATTTCAATGCGGTTATAATCCCTGGTGTTCCAAATTTCAACAACGTCAATTAATTGAACATGTTCTCTCTCAGAAACTGCATTACCCGGTCGCCACATAGTCTGGTGGTCCTAGTAGTTAATAATGGAATTCTGTTCCCATACACGATGTACTGTAGGTACTTTATTATAAGCCACAAGGCAAATACATGACCAATACCTGGAAACAATATCCAATCCGACTTTGGGAAAAGATTCTCAAAATATAATAGAAAGATACCTTCATCCCAAGGTAAATAGAAATTGGGTACTTGGTTCTAGTTGGTGACTAGGTTTTTCTAGTTTGTCATAGAAAAACAATTACCTAAATTTATAACGAAAACTCGTACTATTGTCTGTGTTGATTGTCCAAAAAATAGTAATAAAAATTTTAAAGATTTTGGTGATGTAATTCTGATACGAATATTGCATATTCCATTAATTACCTGATCAATTTTTTAAGGATATTTAGACCCGCTTGCCTTTTGGTGATACGCAATTTTTTTTTTTTTAAATGTGTAGAAGTTTTTTTAGAAAATTCAGGTAAAAAATAAATACACGTGATATCTTACTATACTCCTTCCTCCCCCATGTGATATTTTGTGATTTTTTGTCAACCCCCCCCCCCCCCTCCTCCGAAAAACCTCACATGCTTAATGGATGCCCCCTAAGTCACGAAACAAATTCCTGGCTAATCTCTGAAAAATATTTCTAATTTGATTTTAGAGATATATGTTCAAATCTTCTTGGAAGAACAACATTTTTAAAGGAAGAAGAACTTAGTATCAAAAGTATTAGAAGAATGTATACTGATTTTATTTAGATAAGTTTTTAGTACTTCCAGCAATCTACAAAATTGCTATAGCATTTCTGATTTTTTTTGTTATTCTTTATTTATATATAGTGATCGCAAAAAAACGAAAAAGAAAATTTTTATACGTCTTTACGTTTTTAATGTTTTTAAACATTTTCGTATATCTTAGAAAAATTGATGTATGTATGTGTATGTGTGTGTTTGCGTTGTGTGTGTGTGTTTATGTGCGGATACCAATTTTTGTCGACGATTTTGCGATCACGAAACAATCGATTTAAATAATTCAAAAAACATTCGATTACTACTGATAAGGAGACGTTCTGATTAGTTTTTGGCATAGACAGGTCTAGCCGTTTTGGATAGCAAAAGGAGATAAAAATGGTATTTCAGTTTTTGAGATAACGAAGCGTCCGATTTAAATAATTCAAATAACATTTTACTTGTATTGACAAAATTAACAACTGGTTAAATTTTTGTAAAGGCAGATCCATCGTCTTTGGAGATGCAATAAAAAAAGTAAAAAACAATGTCATTTGGCCGTCAGAAATGAACATTAGACATATATGTACATCGTATTATCAGATATTTTATAAAGAATATAATATTACGTACAATTTTTTTGGGCATATATGGTTCCATACCAATGTTTACACGTTTGACGACTTCGCGGCGCTTAAGCGCATTGATATTTCGGCTTGAAGTCACCCAAACAGCGCGATTGCTTGAAAAAATGTTAAACATTTTCAAAAAAAACTAAATACAAAATGAATCAAAATATAAAAAAATCTGAAAATAAATAGTCATTTTGTTTAAAACATCAACTTTTATAAAAAATTTCAAAATTTTTCAAAAATCTACTTTTTTCAAAGTTTTGCAATTTTTTTTTGATTATTTAGCTTTTGGTACGCGAAGTTCCAGCAATTTGCCTTAAGGCACGATGCCATACACCACTAGTTTATTTGATATTTTTACTTCTTCGAACTTTTTTGGTTTATATCAAATTTAATTCCTGCAAACTTTTAGAATCTGTTCGACTATGTACTTTAGGTGGACAAACTCGAGAGCTTTCAATTCATAATTGAATCATAGAACAAGTGCTTGTTCAAGCTTCTGAAATGAAATAAAATTTAAAAATGTTTAAATTGATTAGCAAAAAAATTACCAGGTCGAATTCGGATTGGATATAGTTTAATTAACAGAAACTTTATTACTTTTTACTAATTCATGATTTAATTAAAAATTCTTGAATTGCACGATTTATTTTTAGACTTCTTGAAGCATTGGATTAATCCATAAATTATCTGACTAGATTCATATACCTATAAGCAATGGATTTATCCATAAATTATCTAATTAGATTACTAAACTTTGTGTACAATGTCTATTCTATACATCGTATGCAAGTTTGAATATTCCACATTAATTTTTGTTACAAAAAAGAAAAGTTCTTATCAGTATCTAATCTTGCTGTAACTGACTTTCTTTTCCAGTTGCCCATGAGCAACCCTTTAAAGACAAATGTTTCCTATATCGGTTTCGTCAAGATGAAGATCCACCAGGAGGTGCAACCACTGGAAGTAACAACAATGCTCTTCCAAGTATGGAAGAACTGGCCAGGGCTGAAGAACATGTCAGAGACGCTCTTGCTGCCTTGGCACACAGGGCTTCTGATGCACTTTTGAGGATGATACTTAGAAAACCGTAAGAAATCATGATAATGATAAAAATATTATAAAATGTTGACCAAATTGCATGTTACCTTCTTTACATTAGGTTCTCTAGTTCTCCTGTATGGTTGACCTTTGTTCCAGATTTGTGTTTGTAGTTGTTTTTGGTAAAGTTCTTTGTTATAAATTTTGTTTAGACTTTAGTGCCCATTACCAAAGTCTAATCTACTCCAATTAGTGATATAAAAACTTCAGGACTATGTTTTGGCAATCTTGGTGGACTTCTCCCTTTTCCAAAAACTTGTGCTATTTATAGTTCCTCTTCCATGCCACTACATAATTTTGTGTTTTTTATTATCAGGAGCCATGAACGGACTCAGGACGACTTGGAAACTATTTATGAAGAACTTCTGCACATAACGGCTCTTTCACACTTGTCCAATTCCGTAAAACGAGAACTTTCTGCTGTGATAGTATTTGAGGCACATCCACAAGCCAGTACAGTTCGTAAGTAAAAAATAAATAGTTTCATATATATATATATATATATATATATATATATGAAACTATTTATATATATATATATTTATATATATAATATATATATATATATATATATATATATATATATATTTATATATTTATATATTTCCTACTACTTTATTATTAGTCCTTTACCATTTTGCATGGTGTATTTCCACCAGAACTTGTCACAATATTGAGAATTCAGATCGATCCAGGGGTGGTGAATGTGGTTTTGAATTGATTCGAAATTCAATTCTATGACATATATATTCGGAACGGACAACATGAATAGAAAATTTATTGAATGACATTTCCGATATCGTCAATCCTATCTGTGGTAGAAACTAGAAATTGTAGATTTCTCATGTGGGTAAAAATATTTACTTAGGAAGACACATAAATAGCGGAATATTTCTATATATAAATAACCATGAAATAAATAGAAAAGCAAAAAAGAATATTTTTAAAGAAGGTGTAGATATTTAGATCGATAGTAAAATTGGTATAATATGATGAACTCAATTTCAAAAAAGTGGAACAGTTTTTGCCTACTCTAATACATTGCAGTGCCCAAATATGCGATTATTTCAAATTATACTTTTGCATTTTATTTCTAATATAAATAACTTAATTGAAGAGCTATTTCAATTTTTTATGTCTTATGTAAATAGCTAAATTATATTCTTCAAAGTCTTAATTTCTTCAAAAGACTATCTGATGCTTCACAATTCGCTATTCACAAAATGCTCATCTGGAATAATAATATAACAATTTTGTAATTCTTTGATTGTTACTAAAATAATCAATTCGTGCTATGCCTCATAAATAAAAATCATTTATAAATAATTAGATATATATACATATCATTGACTGATTAATTAATTTTCCTATAATTCTGGTACTTACTATAGAAAAAAAATTAAGTTATTCGTTACCATTGATTTAAATTACAAATAACGTCTTAGTGTGCATTAATAAACTACCTTGTATATATCTATCTTTAGCAGTTACTATAATTTCACAAATCGATAATGCATATAATTTAATACAAGTTCTAAACTTCTAATGATATTTGGTATTAGTATTCAGAATTAGAAACTTTGTTAAAGGAGCTCAGGAGTAAAACTTAAAGATACATGATCAAGTTTACATCAAATAACTTTAAGAGGATTTAGAGATCTATTTAATTATACCAACAATAAATTGTTAATACAATTTTGTCAAATTTTTATTTTACATAAAAACAAGAGTTTGGGAAGTACCAAGGATGAAATAAATAATGCATTTTTTTTAATAATGGTTTTGCTGGATTATAATGATTAATATTTCTGTCTATGTTGAAAGCATTTTTTTTGTATTTCAGTTTAAATATTTTAATCTTACGTACACAATAGACCATAAAATTAAATCCATGATATAATTTTATAACCCATTCAAAATGCAACAGAGCAATGCCCTATACTTTCTTATTCAACACTAAAAAATCTGAAAACTTTCAATTAACGTAATGCATCTTATGTAATATAATGTTTGCATAAATAATGAAATTTTAATGCAAAATTTTATGAGAATTCAGTTTTTATGATTTGTATTAAGTAATAATCTTAAAGTTAGTGAGAAATGAATTTCTGGAATATTTTTCCGGACATTATTTAATAATGCAGATATTGAGGCGATGGAATTCAAATGGAAGGACATTTCTGCAGAACTATGGAGATTGCATTCCTTTTGGCTTTGGCATTTTCAATAGGAATATATATATATATATATATATATATATATATATATATATTACCTACTGAAAAAAGTCGTTCAATAGACTAAAATGTACAAACAATTACTTAAATAGAATCTCAATTTTAATTGATCGTTGATGATTCACACGTTTATTTTTTATTAATGAAATAAAGTCTCAATTCTTTATACTCTTTTATTATGTTCTATGATATGTAATAATTATTTTTCTTATATTTTGTAATTTATGCAAATACTGATTGCTTTTGTAATATCGTCTAAAATATTTATTGCACTAAAATATTTTTTTTTGCATAGTTTTATTGTCAATCAAAATAATATACATTTTTTAAGACAATATGATGTTGGTGTTAATGCATTTAAGAGATTATCTCCTATGAGATTTCTATCTTTTTTTTTATTTATGACTTTTTATTTAAGATCGTATGGCCATTTTTTTTTTCAATCTTCGTGTGGGATATTACTAAAAAATCTGGCTTGTAAATCTGGCAGTTTCATATTTATCACTAAAAAGTCTTGATTTTTTAGCATATGATTTTATGGGTCCTTATAAAGTTTATATAATTTTAATTCATTTTATTACTATTTTATTTTATAGTTTTTCATCAAGGAGATGAAGGACGATCTTGGTATATTATTTTGAGAGGATCTGTAGATGTTGTAATACATGGAAAAGGCACTGTTACAACATTACAAGAAGGAGATGATTTTGGAAAATTGGCTCTTATCAATGATGCTCCAAGGTAAAAAAATATTTTAGTCATAAACAAAATAAAATAGATTCTCACATGAGTACATACATATTTGGTATCACTTAGGACTTTCTCTAATTTTGATTGACAAAGGATTCAGAATGACTTGAAACGTCGAGAAAACATAAAATTAACAAGTCGGATTTTCTAGCAAAAACGTAAACTATCCATTAGTGATGTTAAAAATATATATGACTTTGGGCTCTCGTCAAGATCATTCATGACAAGTATCCAAAAGTACAATTGTTTTATAGTAATTTGTATTATAACCAAATTGAAAATAATAAAAATAACAGAAGATAAAAATCGAAAATGTTTGTCATATATATTTTAACTATATAATCTAACTAATTTCCAGCCAAGCTTAAATTTCTTCGATTTATACATGTGAAAATAGAAGTGATTAATAAAAAAAATCTACAGCTGGCTGATAATAAAATGCAACAACATAAGTTTATTACAATAATTCTTACTATTTTTTATTCAGAGCCGCCACAATAGTTCTTCGAGAGAATAATTGCCACTTCCTCCGAGTAGACAAAGACCATTTCAACCGAATTCTGCGTGATGTTGAAGCCAACACTCTTCGTCTTCAGGAACATGGTCAGGATGTTCTGATACTCGAAAAAATTCCTCAACAAAAACAGCATTCACATTATAAGTAAGATTTTATTAAATTCTAATTGAACCATTGATAAAGACAATAATACAATATTACCAGACTCAAAGGTTGCTCTTTAGATTCATAAGAAAATAATTTGGTGTTACTTACTTACTCTGATAAATGAACTGAACAATATATAATTTATAAATTAAATTGAAATCGAACAACATGTGATTTACATATTATTATTACATATTTTAGGTATACTGTGATGGCTGGTACTCCCCAAAAGATGCTGGAACATCTTCTGGAAACCAGACTGGACGCTAGAGGTAACGGAGGCGTTGGAGGAAGAGGTGAACCAGCTGGTAGAGATCCATTTCTGGATGATTTTCTGTTGACTCACATTGTATTTATGCCAACACATCAACTTATTGCAGAATTAGACAGACAATATCCTTTTAAAATAGTAAAACATGATTCAGTTGTACCAGATTTTGTGAAATTGTTTTTATGCATATTATCCTTAACTTCAGTGTACCTATAGGATAGACTCTCCAGGTCAAGATCGAGAATTTTTATTAGCATGCAAACGTAGAGTCGTCCAATTCGTCCACAGATGGGTGCTCACGATACGCCAAAAAGTTTTTGAAGATCCTGGCACAACAGAATTTCTCGAGGTAATTTCTTATCAGTTTACCAAAATTTCAGACATATGACTATATTTTTTTCTATCACAGGATTTGGCAAGTGAGGTTGAAGCAGATTGCATACAATGGACATGTCTTCAAGAAGAAGCATCTTTAATGCATCATGTGATGTCACAACTTAGACGTCACCAGACTGATATTCAACGTCACAGTGGTCAGAGGTGGAAACTTCCACCATGTGGACAACCTGTTAGTTTATTTAGTACATCTGGTGTTCAAGATTCCAGGACGATCATCAGACCTGATGATGACAGTCAGTAATATCCTTATATTACACCACTAGTTCTATTACAAATAACTAAATTTTTTATCTATCAGTAATTTTCCGAGTCTACTGCGCCGATCATACCTATTGCACCTTAAGATTTCCAATATCGGCGACTGCAGAAGCAATAAAAGTTTGTGCAGCTGAAAAATTACAATTAAGACCTGCAGAACCAGAAGATTTAGTCCTGGTGGAAGTAAAAAGCACAGGAGAAAGAGTTGCTATGAGAGATGACGACGTCAGTGTTCCTACATCTTTAAGTTTGAATGGAAGGATATTTGTTACTCCCAAGGATCACATGGATGCACTGGTAAAGGACAATACAAAGTTTTTTTAAATAAAAAAATTATTGTCATTTACTGAAGTGTATACGATATGAAGTATCATTATTAAATTATTATTTTTTTGGTTTTCAGACTTGTCTAGCCGAGCAAGAAGTAGCAACAGAAGGTCTAGACATGGACTTAGAATTATTTGGAACCAAAGAATTAGCATATCATATGACTTTATTCGATTGGGACTTGTTTTATTGTGTTCACGAATATGAATTAATATACAGAACATTTGGAAGACACCATTTTGATAGGATTACTGCCAATTTGGACGTATTTTTAAGAAGATTCAATGAAATTCAATTTTGGGTCGTCACGGAAATCGTGCATGCTACCAGTTTGGGGAAAAGGGTCTCAGTTTTGAGGAAGCTGATAAAATTGGCAGCATAGTAAGTGATATTTATTGAAAATTACACACACACACACACACATACACACACATATATATATATATATATATATATATATATATCGTATAAATTACATACACAATCAATCGATTCCACAAAATATTCTGAACTGAACCATTTTATTATCCATTGCTTATTAATATGCATGAGAAAAATTCAAATATCATTCACAAATTTATTTAAAAGTTACAGATATAAAATTTATTATTATTATTATTATTATTATTATTATTATTATTATTATTATTATTATTATTATTATTATTATTAATATTATTACTTTCAAACAATTATATCCAGATTGTACTTTTAAGCCAAGGACAACTAAAAAATAATCCTAATTCAATATAAAAAGAAAGTTCAAAAATGCAATATTTGAAAATATACCTCTATATAATGTATCAAAAAATGTTATTAATTTTTTCTGTAAGAGGTATCTCACTTGCATTTGTCCTTTCTTGAACCATTTGTCTTTTAGAACAACATTTCCTGCGATTTATGTCACATATAGCTGTTAAAATAAAGCAACTTATAGATACAATTATAACTACAAACATGATCTTAATAATTTGCATATCCTTAGAAGAATTTCCCCTCTCTACAAATGCATTCTGTAATTTTAAAGCTAAAAATTTGGTGGATTCATTTGATTTTTCCATTTCTTCTTCTAGTGTTGACGTCGATGTATTATGAGACCCAAAAATAATAGATGCAATTTCCGAAATTGACTCCATAATTTGATTTAACGAGTTTTGGAATGAATTTTCTTCAGTTGATATTGTCAATGATTGATTGGTAAAAACCAAGAGAGCTTGCAGGGTTTTTGATATTTCATTCATTTGCATTTCTAAACGTTTATTGGTGTTTGCAATGTCAATAAGTAAAAGTCTTTGGTTTTCAATTTGGTGATCTATGGTTTGATTTATTTTTGGAATATTATTCTGCTCATCTCCAAATGTGGAGGTTGACATTGTACTTGTTGGTGATGACACTTGTTTTTTTATATCTGTTGTAGAAACGTTAGGCATCAGGTGAAATTTCTGCCGGCAAGAAATTCCTTTTAAATTTTGATTATGGTAGTCAACAACTCCAGAATAAACTATCTGTATGTTTTGTGTCCGAATATTTCTCAAGATATCCATCAAATCTTTACATATCCAGTGATTCCAGTTCAAACTAACTTTTCTTAATACTGGTAAAATTGACAAAATATCATTGCTAGGAATTGTTGTCAGTTGGTTTCCTTCAAGGTATAATTTCTCTAACTTCTCCAAACCATATAAAGCAAAGTGATCTATATGAATTAGTTGGTTGTAAGATAAGTTTAGGCTTTTGAGTTGTTCTAGGCCAGAAAATACACCAACGTCCAAAGTAGTGATTTTATTTTCATCCAATCTCAAATAAGTTAATGATTTTAGAGTTTGGAATATGCCCAAAGGTATGTCACTAATCTGGTTGTGTTGCAAATAAGCTATTTGAACAGCTTGCATGTCTGACCAATTTGGAATTATTTTTAGTTTATTATAAGAAGCATCCAGTTTAGTACCAGAATTGCACATTGATATACCATCTAGAACTTCCAAGTTCAGATGGGACAAAATAGCTTCATGGCACCTAGATATTTGTGCTATATACATAATATTATTTCCACCAACTAACAAAGAAGATATTTTGCTTGATTCATTAAAATCAACCAATCTTGTTAATTGGTTAGATTCAAAATTTAGATGGAGTCCTTCACGCATTTGAATGTAATTAAATATTTCAGGTGGTATAGCAGATATATAATTATGGGATAATGTTAAACTATCTAAATTAATATTATTATAAAATGAAGGCATGACTTTCAGATTATTGTGTGATGCATCCAGATTCTCCAACTTTATAAATTTTTCTAAACAATCGTTACGTATTACATCGATATGATTATTGCTAATATCTAAATATATTAGATTCTCTCCAACACCAGTTAGATTGTTTTTATCCAAAGTTCCAGAAAGTTTGTTGTATGATATATCAAGACGTTTTAAAGATGTTAATCCAATGAGTGATCCTGATTGAATTGATTGAAGTTCATTGCTGTGTAAATCTAATTCCTCGAGAAGTCCCATATAATAAAATGCTTTGTGTTGTATGTTCCTCACTTTGGACTGAGATATTTTCAAATTTATTAGGTTTCTATTCAACATATTATTTATGTCAAAGACGCCTTTAGGTATTTCAATAATACTGCTATCGTGAAAACTCAACGTACAAATATATTCGTTATTAGTTCGAGTATTATAATAATAACTTTGTACGTGGATTTTATTATATTCGTTCAACAAACTGTTCGTAGTAGCAAAACTACATGATTTTGCAGAACAAGGACTAGTATATGAATTCATATATCTATATATAGAACTTGTACTGCATGTCATCGTACGAATTTGTGGTGGTATTACCGCTACAATGGGTTTCAATGCACCCATTGCAACATTTGCCCAAATTAGGCAATAAAGCAAATATCTGAAAAATATCAACAAGTTATACTCAGTAATTCTATTAATTCTGGTAATAATGCCTTATCAATTGCGTATGTTTTTTTTTAATCAGAAACAAAAATTTGCAATCTGAACATTTAAGGTATCATACAGTGAAAAATTTGACACCAATATGTAATGGAGCAAAATATAAATATATAATGATGATTGATAAAATTATATACAATTAATGATTTTGAAACTCACTTGTATATTGTCATATTTCTTCTTTCACAATAATTTTATATAAATAATATATTATAACTTCAAGTAAACTTTGCAAAATGCGCTTTTTCACACTTTTGATAATTGAATTTAAAACAAGATACGGAATCAGAGTCGAATTCAAAAAAAATTGTATAAAATATTAAACCTGTAATAATTTACAAAATTTATCACAATTTAGAGAATTTTTTAATCAAAGTGTTATTAATACTGTTAAAACGGTAATTTATTATAAGAGAATCAGTATTTTCAATAAAACCTTGTTGATGCAAATATACACATAGTAATGGTAAAAAAATCTAAAATGAAAATTATTGCATATCTTTACGTTTCAGAGGTTTCTGCACATTTTGGCTTACCTCAGAAAAAATGGATGTGTTTTGTGTACGCATTTTTTCCTTCACGTTTTCGGGCGCACGGATCTACCGATTTGAATGATTCGAAAAACATTCGATTCCTTTTAATAGGGAGATGTGCTGATTAGTTTTTGACAAAGGCAGGTCCAGCAATTATGGAGATAACTGAAAGTAAAGTGTGCAGAAAACAGAAATAGAGTTTTTGAGAAAACTGAGCGTCCGATTTGAATCATCTAAAAAACAGTCAGTTCGTAATAATGAGGAGAAATAGTGATTAGTTTTTGGCAAAGGCAGGTACAGCCATTTCGAAAATACAAGGCTAAATGCGCAAAAAATGGCAGATTCAAAGAACTTTTTGCTTGTTTTAACAAAATATTTTTTTTGTTGTATATCGAAAATAATTCAGATTTGAATTTTAATTCTGACTAATGTTCTAATATACTTCAAATAATTTTAACTTTGCAATTCAGTTTATATAATTCTCATAAATATTAGACAATGTAACAATATTCACAATAATCTATTTGAAAACATTTAAAATTCCTCGAACATTTCGTTACGGTACGGGAAGTTCCAGCAATTTGTCTTAAGACACGATGCCATACACAACAACTAGTTTTCATTTATTTCTACAATATTACTATATTTTTATAATCACATACATCCTAAAAAATTCCTTTAACAAACTTCAGAAAGATTTATCAAAATCCGAAAAATCGTTTAGGAGGAGTACATTTACATACGTATAAGTTATTTATATTATTACTTAGTTTGCCTCTGCAATTATTCTAGAATTGCAATACTCTTAACTTATCTTTAAATTGATATCCGATGATAAATATATAATTGTTTACTTATTATATGCTTATTATATACATGGGTGTAGCCAAAGTGAATCTTATGCCCGTATTAAAAAATCTTTGTCGACTGATGCCAAATAAGATTCTTGGAATTAATTAATTTTTATTGTCATTTTTTCAGAGAAAACAACTGCAATTTACATTGGTTTTAATTTAATATTTTTAGTAAATTGAGGCATTTCCGTCATTGTTTATATATTGTCAAGATGATCACTTTTATAAGCAAATGCTACATATATCATTAAATAAAATAAATAATGTTCTATTTTATGCAACAATTTTTTCAGTTCAGAATAATTTATTTAGTTCAGAATAATTTATTTCCAAATTTCATACTTCATATTCGTATTAAGTTGCAATGCCAAAGCCTTTTTCGCCATCGTCAAAGATTATACAATTTTTTAACATTTTTTAATAAATAAAAGTCAATTTTAAAATTTCTAATTTTTTTAGTTGCAAAGAATACCAGAATCTCAACGCCTTCTTCGCCATCGTCATGGGTCTAAGCAACATGGCAGTATCTCGTCTGACGTTGACCTGGGAAAAGTTGCCTTCAAAATTCCGGAAAATGTATACAGAATTTGAATGTCTAATAGACCCCAGCAGGAATCACAAGGCTTATAGATTGAGTGTTGCCAAAATGTTGCCACCAGTTGTTCCATTTATGCCATTGCTTCTTAAGGATATGACATTCACCCATGAAGGAAACAGGACTTGTGTGGAAGGATTGGTGAATTTTGAGAAAATGCATATGATGGCACAGACTATGAGGACTATACGGTATTGCAGGAGCAGACATTTAGGTAAGTAGAAAATAATAACAAGTTTTTGTGTCCAACGGGAGTCCAACTTGATTTTATAAAGGTTGCTCATCGTTGATCTAAAGTTCTTTTCCCAAGGCTTTGAAAAGTTCTTCAGCATCTGTCGGAGCGAGTATGTTAACTATTTCACATCTAATGTTCACATTTTGTAACAATTTCACTAAATGAAACGTTTGTCAAAAATCTTCACACTTTATAAATATTTCTAATCTTACTTCCTTATATATTTCTATCTTAAACTTCCTTGAACTCTAGAACGGTCAACCAAGTACATCAACATAGATTTTTTTTTTATTTTTCTACCTGAAATCTTTTGAAATATGTGGCAATTCTTGTTCTGGACAAAATAAAGATTACACACAAATTATGATTTTATCAATTTGCTTATTTATCCAATTTTTTTTCTAGTCCTAGAACCACCATCCCCAAAAAGTGAATCAGAAGTAAGATCTTACATAAGTTGTCTTCGAACCATTGACAATCAGCGAGTGTTAACTTCCATGTCCCAAAAATTAGAACCAAGACGATCATAAAATCAAGAAACTTCATAGGTGAGACAAAGGTAATTTATTATATTTTAATAAATTAAAAAAGAAAGAAGTTACAATCCAATGCAAAGTCACAAAAATTGTGAGCAAGTCGATGGTAAGAATCTCTTCTATTATTCTCCAATAATTTTGTATAAAATTCGTTACAATGGGAGAAGCTCGATTAAATTTTTAATATTTTTTATGAACGTAAGATCTGTTAGAAAGACTGTGTAATATAATTGTCACAGATTGTATTTATTTATATGAGTTTAATATTTATGCCAATAATTAGTAAGATTGCAATTTATAGAATAATTGCAAATTCATATCGTTTTAGGAATTGAAAATTTATATTCATAATATTCATAATTTTATATGATATTTATATTATTTTATAGCTCGATCAGAATATGTCTCAAAATGTTAAAAAGATTTTTTAAATTTTTTATATCTTTTTTATTTTTTCAACGTCTGCAAATATCTGATATCATTTTTTTTCACAAAAAAACTACATCCACCTCAGTGTTTTATTCATTTTTAAATTTTTTGTATAATGTGAATACAAATATTTTTGTTTCAGAAAAAATTCAGTGATCTGAATATTTGAATCTTGTTATTATTTTAAAAATGATTTTTTTTCTTTTTGTAGATTGTTTAAAAACGATTTAATCATTTTGAATTAAAAATATATGAAGCGTTTATTATCTATACAAATTTGGCACCGTTTATTATTTCAGGTTTTATTTAAATTTATTTGATTTAGAATGTCGACATCAAAATTAATTAATAACTAAATTTTGGTATGAAATTTAATATATTTTTATTCGGCTACACAGTCTCAAGTAAATTATTTCTCAAACTAAAAACTAAATTTAAAAAAAAATAATAAGGAATAATGTATAGAATAAAACAAATAAGAATATATTTATATATTTCGTTCTATATTAATAATGCATATCTATAGTCATTATTTAATTGCACAACAATCATATCATATGAGATAATAAATTGAAATTACAAGGAATAATAAATTATTTATCAAATTTATTTTATTCTCCTTTACTTTTATTTATAAATTTTTTATTTCATCAGATTTATGGCAATGTGCCTTAAGGCAAATTTTTTAATATCACCAGTACAATCAGAGTATCAAAAACATTCAAGTTTCTTAATTAGTTATTTCAAAAACGTTGCTAAAAATTGTATCCAAAGTTACATACATACATAGGACACCCACAAATATTTTGTTGTAAGGTAGACCAAAATTTAAAAAATTGGTAGAACAAAAAAGTGTTTTCCACAAAATTCAAATTAACATTTTTAAAGCGTTTTTTTGAAGTATCTGTGTTTATATTTAAATGTGCAATATAATTTTACTACATCATTCCTTGTAATATTTATAATAATAGTTCTATAATATAATTTTTATGCTAAAACAAATATCTCGTTGTGATTTAAACGTAAGACAATCCGATGTTTATAAATCAATAAATAATTGCACTTCTTATGAAATAAAATAAAAATTCTATTTGTATATAGCAGTAACAACTTATTGTATATTTCCTCTCATCACTATTTTTAATAAAAATTCAATTTAAAATAGAAATTTTAAATTAAATCAAGTTCTTCAAATGTTACTCTTAGTAATAATTTAATGTATAATGTTGATAGAAAAGAACCAAACATATTCAACACCATTAATGAAATCTTAGAGATCACGTATAGTTTATTATAATTATTCAGGTTAAGATATTTATAAATTATTTGTGTGTTTTGTAGATATGTGAATAAATAAAATTCCTAAGTGTGGTTTATCCTGCTTTAATTGAAAAAAAATTAGGAGATTTTTTGATTTGGTTAAAACAATGTAATGGAGTAAATTACAGTGGTATTTATTACAGAATTTAATTAAAAAAAATTAACATTCAAAAATTTAAGATAGAATTATTGTCTAAGCATTCAAATTTTTATTCTCAATCTAGTACATTAGTTTGTGTAAATTTTTGTTCATTGAAGTCTTAGCAAATTATGTATTAATTTTTCTGCGAATTCTAGAAAGATTTTTGTAACAGATTGTACGTTTTCAAAAATGCATAATTTGATTTTGATGAAACTTAAAATACATTGTTACTACACTTTCCTAAATGTTTGACAAAAATTTAAAGTTGGAACATTCAATAGTTTTTGAGATATGCGAGGTTGATGGGAGGCTGGATGCCCTCGATACTAGTATTGAAACAGATTGTACGTTTTCAAAAATGCATAATTCGATTTTGATGAAACTTGACATACATTATCAATACACTTCACTAAATATTTGACAAAGATTTAAAGTTGAAACGTTCAATAGTTTTTTAGATATTCGAGGTTGATGGGTGGCTGGCTCCGCGCTCAATACTAACATTTAAAGTTTAAATCATGTCTAAATATGCCGTGGACCCCCATTTTTATTTCGTGGACCGCCAAATTTTGTTTTACTTTCAGTGGACCCCTTAAAAGTTGCCATGGACCCCTGGGGGCCCATGTGGACCACTTTGGGAATCACTTTAGAGTCGCTTTATAGTCTAAAACTTTTTATTCAAACAATACATTTTTGTTTGATAGTAAAATTTCATATTTGTTTACATTATAGCAGGTGAATGTACAGATGGGTATCGATAGTTTAATCCACAATATATTTTGTTTAAAAATGTTATTGATGAACTAATTTTGAAAATTAGAAACCATAATTACAAAATTTTATTTTTCAAGAATTAGTATAGAATTGCGGTTCAATAATGTCTATTATTTTGCCTAAATTTTTTTCGTTCAAGTCTTATTAATGTTAGGTATTAATTTTTCTGAAAATTTTGAATCGCTTAAATTTCTTGTCTTTTTAAAACAAAATATAGTTGTTCATGAGTAAAATTTGAGTTCAATTATAAAAATTAATTAAAATTTCGAATATTCGACCGATCTTTTAAAAAACGTTTTGTGTATGTATTAGGAACGGTTTTGTAATAAGTAATGTGCAGTAATTTTCTTTTCTACAAAATTGAATAATTTGCAATAGTTTTTAAATAAGTTGCCTTACAGCAGTTTTTTGAACTTATAAATTACTCATAAATTAATATATTGATTTCTTATTGTATTAGATCATTATCTGCATATGTTCAGGAAATTTTATCTGTTTATATTATAGCAGGTAAATGTACAGATGAGTAAAAATGTTATTTATAAACTAATTTTGAAAACATATTCACAAAACTCGCTTCTTCAAGACATTGAGATAGAATCCACTAAGCATCGTATTATTTATTTTCAATCTAGTTTAATATTTTGTCTAAATTTTTTTTCATTTAAATAGCAATTTTTGTATACATCGAAATTCTTTAAATCTCTGCTCTTTACGTAGATTTTATTAAAACAATATATTTTTGTTTCTGAATAGGATATATATATACTTTTCTAGATTTCTTTTACCGATGACCAATGTGGACTTCTGAGTGTCATAGAATTTGGGTTTCCTGTGATTTATGCAAGGGAATATATGCAAGATAATGAGTCTTTCTGAAATTATAAAAATTTTTGCTGTTAAAGAAAAACAAACATTGAATTAGTATTTAAATTTGTATATTACCAAGGTATAAGGTTTGGACTGTTTATTTTAGTGTAGCATGAAAATTTTTGAAGAGACATTTATTCTATACAATGTGGAAAAGAAATTGTAACTAATGCTAGAATTGCTTGAGTCAAGATGAATATATTTGCAGGAGGCATCTATTGGTAAGTTATATGTAATTTATTATATCGAATCGATGTATTCTGTATAATTAGTTAGATTAGATTTTTTTATACTTTGAAATATTTTGAAAATTTACGTTAGCTGTGCAGAAACAAAATATTCAAGCGCGTGGGCGCTGCGTCGCAGTATAAAGGATAATCATTGATACGGAACCCAGAGAAATGTTAACCTTTGTTCTTATTATTAACATATCTATAAAATATTAGATAATTTGATCTGCATTTTTTACTTTTGTTACTGGATCTTGTTATTGAAAACCGTTAGACCTGCCTTTCCAAAAATTATATCAGTTTGTCAATACAAGTAAAATGTTTTTTCCATTATTAAAATCGGACGCTCCGTTGTCTTAAAAACTGTGTCACCGTTTTTGGCACTTTTTGTCCCGTACCTTCGGAACGGCTAGAGCTGCCTTTGCCCAAAACTAATCAGTACATCTCCTTATCAATACAAATCGAATGTTTCATAAATTACTCAAATCGGTTGATAGGTGTTACGGAAATTGTCGACAAAAATGTGTATCTGCACACACACACACGCACAAAGTTTTTCTAAAGTATGCCAAAATGTTCAGAAACCGTTGAAGCGTAAAGATATATAAAAAATTTTATTTTCGATTTTCTTTCGATTACTATCTATTTTTTATGATTTATCGATTTTTTTACGATTACTACTTACGGGAAGTTAACCATATTCAAAAAGTTAAAGTTTTAGCATTTTATAAATTGTCTATATATATATATATATATATATATATATATATATATATATATATATATAACATTATAACAAATACTTCATTGGTATACATATTTTATGTTTACAATACAATTTGTATCCATGGTAATTTTTAAACCGGCAGGTGCGTTGAATTAGGTGTAACGCGAGGGTAAGATAAATAACAAAATACCTTTGTTCAAAGCTCTAGTAAGAAAAAATTAAAATATTAAATACAAAAATAAAATTTTAGGAATATTCATAATAATTTTAATTTACAAATACAAAAATATTTATATAAATTTTTAAGAATAACTAATGCAAGTGAATGATTGCATTAATATTTATTTTAGTTAATAGTGAAGTTATATTATAAAAAATAAAGAAATATTATGTAAAAGAAAGCATATGTGATAAAAATAATAAAAACTAGCAATATCATATAAATCAAATAATTTAAAACAAAAAATATAGTTAGTGAAGACATATTATTAAAATTAGTATAATTATGTGATATAAACTATCAAAAGTGAATGAAATAAAAATAATGAATACTAGCAATATCATTTAAAAATTTA